GTGATTTGTTTTTGCACTTTAAAATGGCTAAAAACAAAGGAACAAAACTTACTGGTTTCACGTGAAAATTATGTGAAATTCAAATTTCTATAGTTTATTGGAACACAGCCATGCTCATTCCTTCATGTATTGTCTGAGGCTGCTTTTGTGAAACAATGGCAGAGCTGAATGGTTGCAACAGAAATGGTACAAAAGCCAAAAAGATTGACTATTTGGCCCTTTACAGCAAGTTTCCCAACCCCTGTGCTAAATCATTGGTGTGTGACTCTGGCTGCACATTGGAATCACCTGGGGATTTTAGTAACACGGGAGTCTGGGCTCCATTGCCATAGATTCCGATTTAGCTGCTCTGGGCTGCAGCCTGGGATTGGAAATTCTTACAATCTTTGTGGGTGACGCTAAAGTGAAGCCAGGGTATAGAACCATTGCTTAACTCACCACTGTACTGAGGTCAAAGTAGGTTTCCTAGTGCATGGTCATCTAATGCCACTCTCTTCTTCAAAAACCTTCAAGGGCTCCCTAGTGCTCAGCGAATCAAGTTTCAGGTACTATATGTACTACATATAGTACAAATGTGGCATGGCCACATTTCCCCACTAACATGAAAGGCAATGTCTTGTTCCTGACAGATCTTATATTTTCTTGAGTCCATGTCTTACTAATAAGCTTATCCCCTTTGCCTGGAACGTCTTCCTTACCATCTTCCTGTGTCAAATTCAATCTGAAAAGCCTGTTTCAAAGATCACCTCTTTCATGCTGGATCCCCCCAAATGGAAAGAACCTTTTTACAGAGTGTTTACAGAGATCTCGACCACTTTCACTGTGTGCCAACACCCCTTTGAGGGCAGAAACTACGACCTGGTCATCTGCATGGCACCTCTGCCCCCTCCTCCCACAACACTTTATTACAGTGCTTTGCAAACCTGAGCTTTTCAAGAAACGCTGCCAACCCTTTAATCCCCAAACATTTTGGTTTTACTCCATTGAACCTTCTAGACCCTCAAACTGTCCACCCAATCACCATTCTCTCCAGGCTTCAATTTGTGATAAAACCCTTCAACTTCAGTAAACTCCGTTTCCCTATTTCTTTGTCCTTCCTTCTCTCCACAAGCTCCTGCTCCCCACACTATATTAATCCAACCACTTGCCCTGAGCAATTTAGATGCCATCTGTGCACTGAGGGTGTTCAGCATTCCTTGCTCATTCCTCTTTGATTAGTCAGCTGATGCTCTAATGCCCCCAAACAGCTTTTCAACCAGGTTTTCTGTCTCTATTCTCACCCTCTGTATCTGAAATCCATTCTCTGAGTTCTAAAACTGAGTTAGATGCTAATTGAATGACACATCCATTCACTTGTGAGTCCTGAAGAAATGGAAAGCAGGCCACTGGACTCAACAGACCTTACAATCTAGTGGAGAGAAAAAACAATCACTATACTGGGTGGGGCAAAAGTTGGCTTACAGTTGTGAGTATGCAAAGCAGTTTATTCTTGTATTACTATTTATTAGTTATTACATTATTTTCTGTACGAATAAGTATAAACATACTTTTGACCCACTCCATACTTAACCAGCCACCAGCACACAGTAAGGATCTAAATGTTATACTAAATGAATTCTTACAAATCTGGGTAATAACCTTTGGTATTAATACAGATCACCAAATAGCTGTAACAAGGGATGATTCTTACACAGGTAAGTAAATCAACAGAAACTTACGTTAACATTATTTTTATAACTAAAAATGGTGCTTCAAGATGATAATTATAAAAACTCCAGAATTTGACCTTGTTTCCCCTGGGATTCTGCTTTTGAATCAATTTATATTTATGCACAATTTTTAAAAACATGTCTGCTCTCTCACAAAGCTTCCTCCTCTCTCTGACAGCTGTACACAGGATAGGGCAACATCTTCCAGTGCCTTTTGCTGGATGGAGGAATATTAAGAACGGAGAAAATCACAGCTATATAACACGGACTGCCCTTACCTTAAAAATAAATAAATAAAGATAGTGACCAGCGACAGTTCAGAATGTAGTCAAATTCCTGATTTGTTGCCTTGTACTAGATACTACATTTTGTAAAATTCTAAACACCCGATAGCACAAGAATAGACATGTCCCCACCAAGGACCTCCTCCCATCAGTTACTTTGAAGCTAAGCAGTTTGACAAAAAAAAAAAAAGAAAGGATTTTTTTTAAAGGTATCAACTGGTCCACTTTTTTTTTAAAGATTTATTTATTTATTTTTTAGAGAGGGAAGGGAGGGAGAAAGAGAGAGAGACAGAAACATCAATGTGTGGTTGCGGGGGGCCGTGGCCTGCAACCCAGGCATGTACCCTGACTGGGAATTGAACCTGCGACACTTTGGCTCGCAGCCCGCGCTCAATCCACTGAGCTATGCCAGCCAGGGCAAAAAGAAAGGTTTTAATCTAATTCTTGTTACATTTTCTTTCCCACAACTGTAGTTTATCTAGACCAATTCATAGACATAAATATTACCCATTTGTGAAGGTTTCACTGTTATTTCTAAAACTTAAAACATTCCTTTAATCTACGACAAAATAACTATTCTCTCAGTGGCATTTTAAAAGGATTAGCAGTTACCGTGCTAAAACTCTTAAGCCTGTCCCATCATCACAACTAGCAAACAGTGCAGGGTAACAAATTTTCTTCTCTCTGGGTACTACAGATTTTATTTTTGTCTTCGAAGTCTTACTATATTATAAATTGTTTGAAATTAGGGAGGCTGGAAACAAGTGGTTTTATTTACCTTTTTCCTACTTGCTTAAGAACCAGGGCTGACAATTATTTTAGTAAGGCACTATACAATTACACAAAAAATCAAAAGTAGGAAGTTATATTAGAGGTGTGACTGTGAGAGTAATATTTTGCAAGTGGATACAACAAATGCAGTGTGGTTTTTTCTAATTAGCACCCTGGAATTACATGTATTTCTGAATTGTTATTAAATGTTTCTCTTCCTTTTATATATAAAGATATGGTAACTGCCTTTACTGAATCTGACATCCAGTGAGGATGAGCTTGGGCGCTCAGCATTGTGAAATGCAGGTTGTGCAATCTGGATCGGCAGGAACTCTGTTAACGCTCTGAGCCTCATACCAGCTTCCAGAGGCTAATCCACATAGCCCCTAAGGGGAAAAATGATGAACAAAGAATGGAGAAAACTAAATTTCTCTGACCCACAGATAAGCCACTATATAGTTCTAAAAACTGATCAAAACCAATGCATCTCCTTCATGGCCCCGAATAAGCCCTGCAGTCACCCCATTTGGAGAAGAGCTTGAAAATTGCTCTGTGCCCGTTATTGCTGTGTCTCCAGATAAGCCCACAACTCGTTTTTATTATGATTCCTCGACTGGGACCTGGAAGGTCAGACATGACAATGTAGGCTTGATAACTCTCCTACTTTCTACATCTAATTTAGCACCTACTGTAAAAAAATCATTTCTATCAGCAGTGCAACCATCACTGATATCTCTCTCTGTCCCATCACACCAATATTAAGAGTCTAAAATTCATTTCAGGGGTGGCTGGGCTTTTTGACCTATCTTCTCCTCAAGTACTATGTCAAAAATAGACTTATTTTTGTTCCATATATTAAACATACACATTTTCTTTTTTATCTTTGGCTTTTATGATAAAGGAGTCTTTATTTAATAACCAGAAGACAATTTAATATACAGCTCAATCTTCTCCACTTGCTTGTCCTCACATCACTTCAGAAATCAGTCGATTCTTTTTTGTGTGGTCAAGCAAGTTTACTACACAGACAGTCAGTGGATGAAGATTTCTGAGGTTGGCTCTAAGCCTAGCAATCTTTTAAACCATTGGCAGGAAGGGTACAGAAATGTACATGTGGGAGGGTTGGGGGTGGCTCCAGGGCCTAGGAAACTAGGTGAAGGGCAGGCAGGAGGAACATGAGGTAGCTGAGCTTTCCCGTGTCCATGCCAATACCTCATACAAAGCTACTTACATATCATTCATGTTACAGAAGAGCTTGCAGAGAAGTTAACCCATGAGTACAGGCCTCACCACTTTAAGTAATGAGAAAATAGGTCGAATGTGATCCTTCCACTAACTCCACCACCACAGAACCCCTCGGGGGCTAAAAACTGCTGTCCCATCGGCCAGGCTCTCCACTCTTACGGAGGCCTCTGCCCATCACCTGAAGCACATCTGTCCTCAGGGACAAGAGCAGGCCTGTGCATCAGCCCGGGAACCGCCCTCATCCGCCTGTCAATCTCTCATCTCCTGCCTCTGTTTCCTCTCCTTTCCTCTTCAGCAAGGGAGAGCTGAGCACTGAAGGACCCTGCCATCCACTTACTGTGTACATTGTATGCTTTGTACTTTTCAATGGGAGAGGAGCCTAAGGTATTTCAAAGAGGCCTGTAGGTTTAACATGCATGCAAAATGACAAGTGTCTTAGAAGCTGAATAAACTGTGATCATTTTGAAGGAATTACGCACTCCCCTAACCAGTGTGGCTCAGTAGGTTGGGCGTCGTCCAGCAAAGTGGAAGGTTGCCAGTTCGATTCCAGGAACAACATGGGATTCAACTGCATGGAATAACATAAGGACTTTTTTTTCAATAAACACTGTGAATTTATTTTTCTTCCTTATGATTTTCTTAATAACATTTTCTTTTCTCTAGCTTACTTTATTGTAATATATTTCATAATACATGTAACATACAAAATATGTTAATTGTTTGGCTTCTGGTCAACAGTAAGCTCTTTGTAGTTAAATTTGTGGGGAGTCAAATAATACATATATTTTCTTTTTTACTTATTTTTCTATTATAGTGGACATTCAATATTACATTAGTATCAGGTATACAGCATAGTGGTTAGACATTCACATAATTTACAGAGTGATTCCCTGGTAAGTCTAGTACCCATGTGGCACCCAACACAGTCATTACTCTATCATTAAGTACATTCCCTATGCTATGCTTTATCCCCATGATTACTTTGTGACCAAAAAATATGGAACACTTCATGAATTTGCCTGTCATCCTTGTGCAGGGGCCATGCTAATATCTGTATCGTTCCAGTTTCAGTATGTGTGCTGCCAAATGGGGCACTGCACTTGTATTTTCAACGGCAAGGAGGTCAAGGGCCCTGACCCCACCTTGTTCAGGGTCCACTGTAACCTCCTTCCCTTCACTCAGCAACTGGATCTACTGGCTTCCTTCACCACCAAGAGCAACTGACTGTAAACTTTTTTTAAAATTTCAGAGCAATATTGGAAGTTCTTTATCAATCTATGAATTGTAGAGAAATACCATATATTCTTTTTATTTCTTTTTCTTTTTTAATCTTCTTAAGTCATTATATTCATGTGCACCTAAACAAGTGCCCAGGTTGGAGAATTTGCCTTGGTGTAGTCTTTTGGGGGGTATGTAGTTTGGTTTTGGCAACTCGGTTAACCCTAAATCCCCTGAGGCATTTGGTTACTTTTCCAGCTGTTTTCCCAAATCAATTATACACATATATAATCTAAAAGAGTCAATAACCAGCTCAATAGTTTCCCAGCTTCCTTTTCCATTTCTGCTTTGTTAGAAGTAACTACCTTCAACTCTTACAGCTTATTACTTTGGTATTTGTACAACTATATTGTTAAATAACATAACTTCATTGCTTTTCCTAATATTTGAGTACTAGACACTATCTACTGATTTCCCACGATGGAAGATGAGCTTTCTTCCATTCCTTCCCATGCCTGCCCCATGTGCGTGTGCATCTCCTGCCTTCACTTCCCAATGTAACTGCAGCACATCTGTGCTATTTTGAATTCAGCTATGGAATAATTATGAGTGTATACTCTTTCCTACATAGGACTTCTAAAAAGTCATTTTCTTCATTTGCTTAACTTAATACAAATTTATTGCTAATTCAATCTCAAATTCTTTTCCACTTATCTAAATCACTGTTCAGGAAGTTTCGTTTACACTAAGTATTTCTTCTTTTCATCTTCTGGAAGGTACTTCTGTAGCTTTCTAGCTGCTCTGATTTAGTCTGGCTGCTCTTGAGCTCGGACACATAGCTATCACTCTTGCCATCACCCTGAGCCTGAAAGCACATTTTTTAAGACATGGGAATTTTATTTTATTTTTTTCTAATAACCACAAAATAGAAGTTTATTTTTAAATTTTATTTTTATTTAAGTTTCCTAACTGTTCACTTCCCAGCCCTTAAAGATTAAAAGATTACTAAGTATAGATGATTTTAATAATCAATTGTTAAAAACAAACAAACAAACAAAAAAACCCAACCAAACCAGGCCCAAAGTGCAGTTGCTTAAGTAAACCCCATATCAGCAAACTAAGATTTAAGTTAACTACACTTCTGGCCCTTCCAGAAATGGCATCTTAAACCGGTCAATCAGGAATCACCTGACCAGCACTAGTCAGGTCATCTGCAGGACAGGCCACTGCCATCCATCCCTAACGGAAAGTAACCTTGCAATAACCGCCCACTTTTTGTCCAGGGCAACTTCCTTGTTCCTGTTTCCTTCTGCTTATGAAAGTCTTCCACATTCTGCAGCTCCTCAGAGCTCCTTTCTAGATGCTGCATTGGGTCCTCCCTAGTTGATGAGTCATTGAATAAAGCCAATAAAATCTTTAAAATTTACTCAGTTGAATTTGTTTTTTTACAGGTTATTTTTAGAAAGCTTATTTTCTTTGTTTTCTTTAACTGAGATATCATATAATTGGTCGTCAACTTTTTGTGGGATAAGAATGCCTTTAAGAATCTGATGAAAACCAATGAGTCCCTCCTCCCAGAAAAAAAAATCTATACAGACCCTTAAACTGTTCCACACAGCCTCAGCTGGTTTCCAGAGCCTTGGAAGTCTGTGCATGGGCTAGCCCAGGTTAAGAAACTCCTGCGTAGTTTTTAGTTCCCTCAAGACTCTCCTCAAGGCCTGGGAATTTTGTAATATTCACCTTAGCACTTGTGGGCCTTATAAAGAATGCTGATTATTCTTTTTTGCTTTTATTATTTTAAAAATCAAGAAAATTAATGCTACAATTTTAATTCCCAGCAGCACAATACATCATCAGGATGCAAAGGTATGATGCCGTGTCCACAAATGACAATGTATATAGCACCGTTTAACACTCTTTACATCATATTAACTCTTGAAGCTCTGAGTAACAGTTTCATTTCCAAGACAAAAATAGCATTGTAGAGCTAAGCATTAATGAGAGAAATTTGGAGGTAATAACTGCAGTTCCTAACTTTTACACAAGTTATGCTCTTTTTAAGCTGGTGGTTTAGGATCAGGCTGCACTCTTTTCATTATAAATGATGACTACATTCTGATGGAACTTACACACCCTCAAACTCCAAACAATATTAAAAAATCCAGTCAATTATGTAACCTTAAATACAGTTCTTTCAACTGTATTTAAGTGGCATTTATAAACTTCTTTTATGAGTTCTTTTTAGTTTCACGTCATATCGCACCAATCTTGTAGTGGTCTCTTTTTTGTTCTGCCCCAGATCTCTGTGAGCACAGATTCTGGAAGTTCTATCTTTGTTCTTGACCTGTTTTTATTCTCTTAGGTTTATATGGAGCATATTCACTAACCAGATATTCAAGTTCTCATGAATAAACCAATTTCTCAAAGTTGTTGTCCTCCAGTGTCTTCAGCAATCATGTGGCCAGCCAATATTTAATTTTCCATTCCACCCCAACCATGCATTGTTGGGGTCTGCCGTCTACCAGGAAGTGCCTAATGTGGCTGTTCTACTGTGGCCAGAAAGTGAGCCAGTTGGGCGACAAAAATCACTATGTGCAATGGTCCTTGCCAGGGCCATGGATGGCTTTAGGGCAATCTGTGTACTCCCCAAACATATTCACAATTTGTTTTTGCTGGGAAAAGTGAATATGTATGCATGTTATAAATACTTTATACATATATAAAATGAGATTCTCAAAAAAATGTTAAGAACCATAGACTAGATTATGGAGACATGAAGGCCTCTTATAAACTACCCATTTGGTGTCCATGAAAGCCAATATTCTTTAAATATCTGATGTTTTGAGAGGAGCAGCTCCGTCTACGGAAGGGAGTAGTAGATGGGCACAGGCCTAGCTCGTTCCCTCTCTATTAAACCAAAAGACACAGAGTGAACTAGGCTCTCCGTCTGTAGCACAGTGACAAGCATACCCTTTGAAAACCTGAAGCCCCATTTCAGGGAGCTTCTCAAAGTTTTAGTTTCAACCCACTTACAGTCCCTCTCCCTTAGAAGAGTTCTAATAAAAAAGTATTCCCCACTTGATTGTACGTGCAGTGATATTTGGGATCAAGAGTACCAGGCACATAATGTGCCTACAATTTCATGTAGTCTGTGCTACTTAGTGTTTTCTGAGGCCTCTACGTCAGAAGGAAAGCATCCACAAGACCTGTGGAAGGACACACAGACAAAGCCAAGTTAAGGCACAACATGATGAATAAGCAAGAGAGGCAGCAGGCCACAGAGGTTCAGAATACCATCCCGATCAAGGCCCAACACATATTTCCTGAAAACTCTTTTTTTTAGGACAATGACAACAAGGTCTAGCAAGATACTTAAGAATTAAAGATGAGTGACTATAATATTTTTTAATGTTTGTAAATTTCCTCAAAGTTTTCATTCTGTTTCTCTCCTGTTTTCAATAGACATTAGTGAAAAAAATAAAAAATCAAAGTGAAAAAGGAGTTTGGGGACAATAAGGAAAGGCTTAGATTCTAGACCTCGTTTGTAGCAGGTCCTGAAATGAAAGAAAACACGGGGACTGTTGGGAAAGAGAAGTGGGATGTCTGGGGGCAGGCTGCAGACAGACTCAGCGCCAGAGCCTGGCCTGAACACTCACAGACGCCCTTCGAATGGCCAGAGGTCCCGACTGTTCGCCCATTCTGGCCCACCCGCGGATGAAGCACTGGGTAACCATTTTATCTCACCAAGCCTCAGTGAGCACAGATTTCTACATCTTTATGGTTGCCATGATGGTTGAAGCATTTTGCCTTTATATGAGTAAAACTTTGGCTCTAAAATTCTATACATTTAAAATAGAAATTGAGGATTCTCTATGTTAATTAAGCCTCTTAGAGCTTTATTTTAGGCACTGCTTTTCTTTCTCCCTTGCCATTATAGTTTATTATAGATAGAGTGGCTAGGAATCAGAGTATAGAGACAGGATGCTTGGTTTTAGATCCTAATGCCATCACTGGCTATGTGACTTTGAGCACGTTACTTACACTCTTTGTGCCTCAGTTTCCTCAATGTAAGATAGAGATAAGAACTGTCATCATCCAGGGCTGTTGTGAAGATCAAATGAATCAATATTTGTAAAGCCCCAGAAGAGTGCCTAGCACGTGGGGAGTGCTACACAAGGTGGAAACCAGCAGCACCACCCAGTTCACAAGTCAGAAGTGCTCCTTCAGAGCCTCCCTCATTCCTTCTTTTCTGCATATTCTCATGTTCACCACCAGCGCTCAGACCTGTTGATCTCGTGGCCACACTCTTTTTTCCCTCTCAGTTCCTGTCTGCAGCCTTTCTCTACTTTGATGCATCCTGCATATTGTTCTTAATTTCATCTTTCTAAAATACTACTGAAATTGTGTCACTCCTCTGCTAGAAACATCACAACAGTGGATGTTGTCTACGGAGTACAGATAATACACTTCTGGTGGCTCCGCTTGTGGTCACTACCTGACAAGGTGTGAGTCCTGATGCAACTAACTGCAGAGTCAAAATTCTTGTGACTGGCCCCAAACCACCTGGGAAAGCCTTTCTCATTATTCACTACAAACCCTGAATTTCAAAAGAACTAAGTCTCTTAACATTTGGTAGAAACAAACTGTACTTCACTCCTCATGTTTTTCATATAGTAAAAAACTAATAGTTATGGGTTAAATCCCTGGAGAGGGCACATATATAATGAATGCATAAATAAGTGGAACAACAAACTGATGTGTGTCTTTCTCTCTCAAGTGAATAAATAAAAATTAGAAAAATAAAAGTTCCTTTTTTGGACAATGACCTTGAACATCTCACTCATGAGCCTCCAAGTTTTAACAGCCCTCTGTGTCAC